TCTCCATGAATCACAAGAGGGGGTTCCCAGAGAAGGGGTGGGGTCTGCATTGGCTCAAGGAGGGGGAGCAATCTGCAACCAGATAGAAATACAGGTGCATTTGTGAACATCTGGCTGAAGCGGAGTCGTCCACTAGGCTGATTATTGGGGCCCTGAGCTGTAGGAACAAGGAAATAGGTACCTGGGTATAGTGCCGAGGCTTTGCTAAAGCTGGAGATGGCCGTGGATGGATGCTGTCTTTCCATAGGGTGGGTAGAAACAGGTGAGAGGCTGGGGAGGCTGGAGGGAGGCCAGAGTGGGGACAGAGCCACAAGATGTGGCCGGTGAGCTGGTCACTTCCTCATGCTCTTTTCTCCCTCTAGTCTGCGGCACCTCCCATGAGACAGACCCTACTCTCCGAGACCCAGAAGCCATGACTCGGCGGTGGCCATGGATGGTCAGTGTGCGGGCTAACGGCATCCACATCTGTGCTGGCACCCTTATTGCTTCCCAATGGGTGCTGACCATAGCCCATTGCTTGACCCAGTGAGTCGGGGCCCAGTGAGTGGGTGGGTGGGTGGGTGGAGAGGCATCTGGGATGCTGGAGACCCAGTCCTGCGTGGAGCCCAAGCGCCAGTCCCAGCCTCGTCCTCACTCTGAGCAAGGGAGGGTTGAGTCTCACAGGCTCCTTCCTGGGGCTCAGCCTTTGGCATGTGCCCACCCTTTGCCCTTTTACCTGCCCGACAGTCCTGAGCAGTCATCCGTAGGTAAGGGAGGCTCAGAGGACCCTAGGTTCCAGGTACTTCTCTTCCCTTCGTCAATCAATAGTTTCTAGTTTTCCTCAGAGAGGCCCCGGCTTAGAACCTCTCCGGGTGGATAGAGACGGAAGACAGACATAGATTGTGTGGAGACAAAAGGATGGCTGTGCCAATGTTGTGGGGTCTGGGGACTCCTGAGAGTAGTGTCTATGTTTCCCTTGAGGACTGACCAGTGAAGACAGGTTCCAGGTTGACATAAGGATCAACAGAGTGACTTCAAGAGGTGTCCTGTGGAGGGTGGCTTGAGATCTAGGCCGTGGTCATTACTATAGGAACTCTGTGAGGAAATGGAGTCTATATATCCCAACTTGACCACTTCCTAAGGGTACATCCCTGAGCAGGCCAGGATTCTTTGAATCTCCGAATCTCTCCTCCACAAAATAAGAGGACCACACAGTGTGTGCAGGGCTCTGTCGTGAGGAATAGGCTCAGGGGGCCATGAAGCCCGGGGTGGCCTGCCTGGATTGCTTAGAGGGCCACAGTGATGTGGAGGGCAGGACTGGGGGCTGAGGCAGGAGCCTAGAGCTGATGGAAGACCCCCCCCCTTCCCGTAGGCAACACGTTAACTATACAGTGAGGGTGGGGAGTCCATGGATTAACCGGACCACGGTAACCAGCACAGACGTGCCAGTACGTCAGATCTTCATAAACAGCGGCTACCAACCCAGGCGGCTCTGGTCTTGGGTCGGCCGGACCAACGACATCAGCCTCCTCAAACTCCAGTGGGGGCTCAAGTACAGCAAATATGTGTGGCCCATCTGCCTGCCCGGCCTGGAATATATGGTGGAGGACAGTTCTCGCTGCACCGTGACAGGCTGGGGGTATCCCCGGATTAATGGTGAGTCAGAGTCCCACCCCCAGCCCGGGGTGCGTGGTGGGAGAAAGGACTGGATGTGGCTGGGGTGCCCCATGGATGGACATTTCTGGAGTACCTTCTTTAAGGAGCTGGCTGATCCAGGAACTCCTTGTTTGCTTTCTCATCTCTGAAGTCCCCCCCCCCAAGTTGAGGGTCTTGTCAGTGAACATATCATGGTCATTACCGCCCTTGAAGTCTCGGGACCAAGGCAGCAAGGAGGTCTCAGAACAATAGCTTGTCACCCATACACAACCTTAGGGCATCGGCAAGTAGAGTGCAAGAGGGTGAGTCCCCATTTCTGCAGAAGGCTTCCCAGAATCACCGCAGCTTGTGTCTGGAAGTTGAGAGTCACACAAGGTCCCCTCACATCCCTTCCCTTCAGTGACCCTCGATCCCTTGTGATTCCAGTATAGGAGCAAGGCCCTCAAGACAGGCTGTCCTCTCACACCCATTCAAGGGATCATTTTTCTCATGGCTTCTGGGAATATCTAACTCCCTTTATGGGGCCACCAATGCACAAGAGAGATGCCCTTCTCTGTATCCTTGAGGATCCGATTTGCCCTCTAAACAGCCTGTTCTGTGACCTATCTGGGAGTGATCACAAGTTTCCTGACGCCCAGGAGCTCAGATATACTTTGGGTGGGATGTAAAATAGTGCTGTGGGATGGGGGTGGGTGGGGTGGGGTATCCATGGAGCGGGTCTGGGCATCATGAGGTGGCAGCTCTCGGGACAGCTTTGGGAACAAAGGCTTTGGCCCTGAGAGCACTGGCAAGCACTTGGAAGAGGACTAGCAGAGGCCATCGGTGTGGACTGTCTGTTCCAGCACCTCTGTATGGGGCAACCTTGGCACCTCTGTATGGGGCAACCTTGGCACTTCTGTATGGGGCAACCTTGGCACTTCTGTATGGGGCAACCTTGGCACCTCTGTATGGGGCAACCTTGGCACCTGCTGGCCGGAGGGAGAATCCCCCAGACATGGAGACATCTCTATGACTACCATGCAAAAGAGACAGAACGGGTAGCTGTGAGCCACCGTCAGTGGCTAAACCTGAATGGGGACCTGTTCCACAGGCAGGTGGCCCCAGTTCCAAACCCTCCAGGAGAAGGAAGTCTCCATCCTGAACAGCAAGAAATGTGAGCATTTCTACCACAAGTTCTCCAGAATCTCCTCCCTGGTTCGGATCATCACATCTCAGATGATCTGTGTCTCGGACAACAACAGGGAAAAGTTCTGCTACGTGAGGACCTCTGCCCCTATTCATCTATCCCGAGGGCCAAGGGGTGGAGGGGTGCAGGAGGCAGAGCTGAGGGCTGGGGAGAGGGGAGGGGAGAGTGAGGAGAGGATGGAGAGGGCAGGCGAGGGCAGGGGTGTGGAGGCTGGAAAGGGGTGGACCGAATCGGATGGAAATGAGAGGGGTGGGTGTGGAGCTAAGGCTAAGGAGTGAGGAGGAAAGGATGGGTCAGGAATGCCTACCCGCTTTGTCCACACTGGGAGGCTACGGAAAGAATCCGGTGGGAAACACCCTGGGCTGGCTCCTTGAGTGGAGTTCTGTCCTCTCAGGCATGGCGTCACCTCCCTGATCCCTTTTAACTTCCTCCCTCCTTACAGGAGATAACTGGCGAGCCCTTGGTCTGCTCTTCAGGCGGCACATGGTACCTGGTGGGGATGATGAGCTGGGGCCCCGGCTGCAAGAAGAGCGAGGCCCCGCCCATCTTTCTGCAGGTCTCCTCCTTCCAGCCGTGGATCTGGGACCACCTTAGTGGGGAGGCCCTGGCCCTCCCAGCCCCTTCCAGGATGTCGCTCCTGGCTTTCCTTCTGCTCCTCGGCCTTCTTGTTACTCTGTGACACTGCCGGGTCCCCTTCCCTTCCTACTGAGTGTTGCGGTGGATGTGGCAATCAGCAGGGACTAGCAGAGATTAAACACTTCTTTTCCCCACATCTCCTCCTTCTGAGCCGCTCTAGTGGGAAGCAGGTGTGCACAGTGGGGTAGGTGAGGGACTCTGGGCACTTAAACTGAAAAGTGTAAAGCCTCGAAAGATTTGGGGTGGCGCCTGCAGAAGGTAGAGGGGTATGTGAAGGGGACGTGGGAAGACTGGGATGCAGTACCTAGGCCAAAGCTGGGGCTGGGGGGACCTCCCTGCCAGACCCCTAGGTGGAAAGTGGCATGGTCCTTCTGTGCGACTCCCTGGTCTTTTGTTTCGTTTTGTTATTGTTTTGTTGAGACAGGGTTTCTCTGTGTAGCCTGGGCTGTCCTGGAACTCTCTCTGTAGACCAGGCTGGCCTCGAACTCACAGAGATCCGCCTGCCTCTGCCTTCCCAGTGCTGGGATTAAAGGCGTGCGCCACCCCCGCCGGACTCTCCCTAGTCTTGACTGCCTTCTGGCCAGTGGCTAGAACTCTCCAGAATATTGTCCCCAAAGATCCACAGAGTACTTTGACCCTCTAGCCCTGCTTCCGGCCTGGGGGCATAGCTACAAAAAGATCTGCTGGGAAAGACATGCTTCCCACCGGCACTGCTCTGAGTGGCCTCCGCCGCTGCCCCTCTGAACGTCCAGTGCCTTGCCACACAGAAGGGCGCTGGTTTGTCTGGGGAGAAAGGACCCCAGCCAGCTCTGGGAATGAGAAGCCCGTGCACTGGAACCTGGAGGTAGAGGTCAGCCGACCATGCCTGACTAATCAGAGTGCTTCCTTCCGTGATGGGGGCCTGCTGTGATCCCTCGGCCCCTCGATACTCCTTCCTCGTGTCATTCTGGGGTGCTTCCCCTTGTAGGATGTTGATATAGGACCGTGTCAGGAATGAGGGATGATTCCCGTGAGTCAGGTACCCGGCTCCAAACATTAGAGACTTATTGAGAGCATGGGGTAGAGTGGGAGAGAGCTCAGGTGAGCCTCAGCGATTTCCCTCCCTGGCCCGAGTCCACTTGGCGGGGTGGGGTGGCCACAACTTCTCCTCGCTGCTCCTCAGCCTCTGGGCTTCTTAAAAAAAAAAAAAAAAAAAAAAAGATTTACTTATTTTTATTTTATGTGCACTGGTGTTTTGCCTGCATGTGTGAGGGCGTCAGATCTCCTGGACCTAGAGTTACAGACAGTT